TCCATAAAGTCAAGACTATTTTGGAAAATGCAAAAAATAGCTTGAGTCATTTTATTTACCACAGACTCTGGATTAACATCTCCAGCCTTTGTATCTCTAGTTCACTAGAGATTCACTCCTAAAAAGTATCTACTGCTCTGCTTTGAAATTGTCAACATTTGGCACAAGCATCAAGCACAATCTGACCCCAAAAGTTTTCAATGGCATCGAAATCAGGGCGGCTGGCAGGTCTTTCCATCGTCTCCGTTCTACAGACATGGATTGTGAATGTAGCCTGTGATGAATATTGCTCTGCTGGGGAAAGCTTGACATCTTGGAGGAAAGACTTTGGTTCTTTTCACTGGAGATATGTTATTTCTGAGAGCTGCAGAATCAGTGTCCATTGAGATTGCATTCAGTGATGACAACTATTGCTTCAATAAGAGGGATGGAGCCCACATCACCACACTGCCTCCACCAAAGACTGCACTGGCAGCGAGGATTTAAGATTTGGAAAGATTGTTATTTGCAAAACTCGCCGCACAATGGCAGCCCACTGCTCCCCGAGGGGATGGGTTAAATGCAGAGAGTGAATTCATTGCTCTGTACTTGTGACAGTGTAATGATAGTCAAAAGCTGTAAAAGAAACTCTACTCTGCTTAAGCCACAAATGAATTGTCCTAACAAGTATGGCACATTTTAAAGAATATGTGCAATACTTATATATGTATTTTTTGTAAAAAGTATTTTTAAAAGAAGTAGGAAAACAAAAATGTAGCTAATTTTACTCATAAATTTGCTAATTTGAAAAAAACATGTGAGGATTAACATTCATTTTGCAGATTAAATCTGCTTCTTTGTGTTTTATCTGTTAAACTTCCATAAATAATCTTCAGGAAAAAAAACGGAAATAAATGAATCCATGTTTGTTCCGCTGCCTTCACAGGTTACTTTTTAACTCTGTTTCAGCAGTAAAGCTGGGTTCAAAGCTTTTCTTATTTTGTGGTCTAACACTGTCTCTCCAGCTTCATGAGAGTGTAATTATTTTAGGTTTTAATGTAATGAAAAAAAATGTGGAATAGATGAAAATGAAAGACCACCCAGTCACTTGAATTTTGTCCATATCTTGTCTCTGTGTCATCTGCTGGTTGTCAAGATAGTACAGAACATTCAGACTGGAAGCATTTGCATTTTTCTTTTTTATCTCTAACCTGCTGGAGCTTAATTTGTTGTTCTGATGACTGTCTGAAGATGCTCTTATCTGTTGTGCAAACAGCTTTGTAATGCGTGCACTGCAGGAAATCCCACAGAAACCAGGATATGGAAACTGATAAACAGTTCTGCTTCCAGAAGTAAATAATTGGACCTTAAAAACAAAGTGATGCATTGGATTTAACCCTGGAGTTATATTCTGATTACACAAAAAAGAAAATTGGTTGTTGGAGATCTTATTCCGTTTAGTATCAATGTCTAGAGGAACATTTCAAATCATCACCCATAATGTTTTTGTATATTTAATCCTTTCAATGATTGACACCACTATAAAAGTCTTATTCCTCCTCATTGTCTGACTCAGCAATTGATGGACTCTCTGATTGAAGATTAAAAATAGATGTTGTGTTTTTTTATGCTGAGAAAGCACCAAAATGCGGACAACTTTAGATGCACATGGTGCAGATTTAAAGTAGAAATAGAAACATTCCAGATGTTGCACAAGGATAAAAAAGGAATAAGAGTATATGTTGTATTATGTTTAGGCATCTGTAACGCAATTGTTCCAGTATATAGCTGGGTAGGACTTGGAGTTAGTAAATCCAAGTGTCAGACTCCTGTCTTTGTGTTTGTGTCTGTGTTTGTCTCCCTTCATCCACCAGGAGGCGCCTGGTACTGGTCCGCCTCCTCACACACCTGCTGATGGTTTCCTCGTTAAACGGAGTGTTCTTAAGCTGCTGACTGCCACTACCTGGACGCCAGAGTGTTTGCCAGTTTAGGGTACTCTAGTCAAACTGAGTTTTTGTCAACCTGAGTTTAACTTTGTTTTTGTCTTTGCCTCTCGGCAAGAAGTCATCCTGCAAACTGGATTTCTCGGACCTTCTCTCCCTGGAAGGATCAACTGAGCTTCAAACTGAGCTGGGGTTCAAACAGGAGGTTTGGATCCACTTTCCCCAAGAGATCGTTTGAGCTTCGCACTGAGAAAGGGATTATTCTCCACTACAACCCGTTCAAGTACCGCAGGAAATCTGAGTGGCAGTCAATTTCTCCGTTCTCCATCTAACAACCGCATTCTGGGTAAACCCTGTTCCGCCCTCCACCGAATCAAAGAAACACTGGAACCACGGCACACAGACAGGAGTCAAGGATTCAACAACTTCTCTGGAAACGTGAGTCGGCAACCAAATCCTCTTCTCCAAGTTCACGAGTCAAATTCCCCACTGAGTCTGAACTAACCGCTATGTCTTCCCCTCACTTTTCAGTTCCGGTTGAGCAGTGTTCAGAGCAACACTTCTCCCTCTGTTTAACCTCTTCAATAAAACCCGTTAAACCTTTTCCCTGGTCTCTCTGTTCGGTTTTCTGCATTTGGGTCTGAGCTTTGTAAAATCATGACACCTAGTAACTAAAGCTGCTTTAACAGATCCATGCATACATTACATTATATAACTATTTCAGTCACTTCCCTCTGGCAGGAGGCTGCGGTCCATCAGAACCAAAACCTGGCAGCACAAGAACAGTTTCTTCCCATCCACTACCAGCCTTATCAACCAGGCCTGCAGAAGTGATGCTGACGCTGCCTCTCTGCCTCCCCTGTTAAGGACCTAGAAGCTACACCAACATAGCATCTTCAGACCTCATACATTACATTAATACACAACATCCTGTGTATATAGTACATAGCTATCTACCATGTATTGTATATATTGTGCGTTTATACCGTATACATCTATAGTATTCTGTATATGTATTGATTTTGTCTGCACCACCAACACCAAGTCAGATTCCTTGTAAGTTGGAAATAAATTTGATTCTGATTTTGAATTTATTTGGAAAAAAATTAATAGATGTTTGTATTTAATTGTGCTTTGGCAATAAATTTAAAACTGTCATTCCAATAAAGCTTATTTGACTTTTTTTGTGTGTGCAGATACAGGTAACAAGAATAACCTGCAAAAAGTGTGAAACTCAGCAAGCTTATTTACTGAGGGAAAAGTGGAGAATGCCATCAGATCCAGATGAACTATCTTGGGAACAAGTGAGGAACAGAGAAAACATGCAGACTGAACAAAAATGTAGCAAATTTCTGTCATTAAGGAACTATAAACTGAGTGTGACAAGATATTTCATATGCTAATAAAGATTTAAGAAGTGATTGAAACCCAAACAAAAATAAAAACCAAAACCCAGAGACCAATGAATCATAACGATCTAGATACTTATATCTGTGGGGTCGAGGGAAACATTCACTCCCACCTACTGTTGGCTTTAGACTGACATCTTATACAGCCTTCTGTCATGTGGTAGCACATATCTATATCTCTCAAACAAGCTGTAGCTTCCAGCGTTAGTGGAAAAAAAGACATAGAAAAGTATTAATAGCATTCTATTATTAATTTTATGGTTTTGCCTGTGATACTGTGGGACTCAGTGGTGACATTTAGAGCTTAATGAGGAATGATCTCATCTCCTTTCACTCCCATCTCTTTGGAGGATCCAGTCCCTTTTTGTGCGTTAATCATATCCGTAAATGTCTCAGTTTTGATAGATTCAGTTTCCTGCAACGGTCAGTTTTTTCTAATGCATGCCTTGATGTCTATCTGAAAAACTTTTATGAGTCTAGAACACCTAGTCTGGTGCTTCTTTTGCCTATATGGGAAAATATTTTCAGTTTGACTATTTCAGTCAGAGCTCTACTGGAATTTATAATTATGAATCCATTGCTTTTGGTTCGTTGGAATAGATAAGACATTACAAAGCATACAGTCTATCTAAGGAACCACTTGGTTGGATGATAAAACATATTTATCAGGCACTTATATTGAGCAGGAAGGTTTCAAGGCAAACTGTCAAAGGTCTACAAAAATCAGTTTCTTAGGGTCAATGATTCCTCTTAACACCAGTAAATCCTTCTTACAAATGCTCCGAATTAAGAAAATAAAGGTTTTAAAGTGGTCTAATCAAAGCCTGGACTGCAGTCAAAGTCTATTCAAAGTCCTTACTTAAATGCAATCCAGATGCATCATTCTGAAGCTGAATTTGATTGATTGACTTTATTGATTTCACAGTGGCGAAATGTACTCGTTACATTGGCTCAATAGTCAAGAAGAAGGTGCTGAAGGAGGAAAAGGTGCATGGGTATATATGTATGCAATATATACTGTGTCGTCTAGTTGTAAAAAAAAAAAAAAAGAAGGGGGGTGGTGGAATTTTCCTTTTTTGGAAGCATACATGGCCTAATTAAGGCAGTCAATTAATCTAAAGCAATATGCATGGTATGGTGATACATGTCAGGTACGTCGGTTATTGACCTTGACCAAGGCACCTTACAGTATAACTACATATATATTGTATATGTATACTGTATGTATTGTATGTATGTTGTTATACAAGGTTATTGCATGGTATTAATACAGGGTATTTTTTAGTTATTACTACTTACTTACAGCAATGAGAATAAATATCCCTTATAAAAAATAAACTACCAGAATACTGTGATGTGTTTTAATAATAGTTTAATTTACTGAGTTCCACTCCTATTTCTGTGACCTGCTTCAGTTACCTAATTATTTAGCAGCCTACAGGTGGTTTTCAGCCTTAAATAGTAAAGAATGTTGAGAAATGTTTCAAGACAATAAAATTAACCCTATGTGTTGGAGATCAGTTTCATTTTGATCCACCAGCATCCATCAAAGAATCAGGTGCAGCCATAAGAATCTTGAAGGGGGGCGGGGTTTATGACCGGCCACGCCCCTCCACTACAGGGAGCGCTCAGCAGCAGAGAGAGAGAGAAACTAAGGAGCGCACAGTCAGTCAGTCCACAGCTAGAAAAACATGATCCAGAGAAGATCCTGCGCTTCTCTAACGAACACAGCCTGTGATCAGAGCCGAACCCAGTGATCCTCTCTGGCTCCCTGCTGAACTACTCCTCTCTCTCTCTGCCTCACACCTTCTCTGCCTCACTCTGTCTCTCTGCCCTGGATCTCCAGAGCCAGAGAATCATGTGCGTTGACAGCGATGGATGCGAGATCGAAGGCTGCAGCAGTTCGGATGAGGTGCGCACTCTGTCGGGCAGGATGAGCCCCGGGATGAAAAGCAGTCCGGACCTTCACTCCTGCAAACCGGGCCAGAAATTCCGCTCCGCGCTGCGCAGATGCCGCTCACCGGCTGCGGCTGCGGGAATCCTCACCTTTGGGAATGTCCTCAATTACATGGACAGATACACGGTGGCTGGTAAGAGATTACTTTCATAAAATAGAACCTTTCTAATATGCCATACAGGTTTTTCCTCTTTATTTTTCTGGCTGGAGTGATTGCGCTCTGAGTGACTCCATGCGCAACCAGCTCACCGGGCGGAACAATGAACCATCCTCTGCTTCTGGTGCCTGTCTTTTAGGAGAGGAGAGGTTGATTGAATCAAACACATATCCTGTCTCCTTATCGCTCTCCAAAATGCTCCAATGTAATGATTTTTCTGTGACTCCGGGATGATTGAAAATCGATCAATTAAGGCGATCAGCTCACATCCGCCCACAAACCTGACTGCATCCTTTCACACTATGAGGGGCCACTGCGTGTTTCTACAGGATCCTCTGCTTGTTTTGATGCTTCTATAAATGCTGCCAGTCCTCCTCAGGTTCTTACTTTTCCTGTTGCATTCTTCGGCATGATAGTAAAATCTTCATGTGCTTTTGATGAATTCTGGAACCACATATGATAAGCCAGTATAATATTCAGCTCTTTAAGGAGTTTTTAGTATGAGAGGATTCAGATCAGTGATCCGTGGTGCTGAATGGGTTAAAAAATACTGCTGCAGCATCATCTCCATGGCTCTGGTGTGTTTGAAGTGCAAACATAATGTTTTCTTCTCTTACTTATTAACTGGAACTTGATCTTAAACTGGAAAACATGATCTAGAAATAAGTAAACATTTTTTAATTAAGTGTATTTACCCCTAATTTGAGTAGCTTAATGAGACAGTTTGCAAACAGAGTGAGTATTTTTACTCTTAAAATAAGATAATTAGATAATATGCACTTAAAATAAAACAATGCAGTTGCTTTTTCTTATTTTAAGTGTAAATTGTCTTGTTTCATTGGCAAAATGTCTCTTTTACCTCCTCAATCCAAGAACAAATGCATTTATTTTAAGAAAAAATGACTAATCTAGATTATGATTTTTTCCAGTCTACATAAATCGAGGGTGAAAGAAATCGATTTGCCATGTGTCACATTCATGCAACACCTTAAACCTTTTTTTTTAACCTTTCTGTCACCCAAGAGCCACAAACTTCATTGTATTTGTTTTGTATTTGCCGTGCTATGCCAACAAATACGTCTAGAAGCTACACTTTTTGGTTGGTTTGTCTGGATAAAATAGTTCAAGCATTTGTGAACGGCAGGTTTCACATCCTGCCATACTTTCTCAGTTAAATCCAAGTTTGAATTTTTACTAGACCCTTTGTTCAACATGTTATGGACTAACCCATTCATAACATTAGGGGAAAAAGAGATCCCACAGGATGATGCTGCCACTCTATGCTTAAACCTGGATGACATGCAACGTTACTTTTCCAGCTTCTTCTTTTCCTTTGGGTGCCAAAAATAAACATTTTGGTCTCGTCTGATCCAAAAATGTTATTCTTCTTATGGTTTTGCTTAAGTAAACTGCAAAACTGATCTAAACATAATTCAAATTTTATTAGAATAAAGGTATTTGCTCTTAAATTGAGCAAGTAAATACGATAATCTGCGAATAGAATGAGTGCTTTCCCTGAAAATAGGTCAATTAGATGTTATGCACCAGAAATAAGATCATGGGAGGTGTTTTTTACTAATATAAATGTAAAATAATCATTCCAGTGACAAATTTTTGGAAAAACTAAACTTATTTTAATAAAAATATTACTTAGATTACATTAATTGTAGTTTAACCATTTCTGACTTTTCATGATATTTGTTCACTAGAATAATTTCAGGCTTAAAAGATGTGTCAGAGTAAAGGCAAGGCAATTAAGGAAAGACAAGTTTATTTATAGCACATAAGAAGACAAAGAAAAATGCACCAAAGTGGCATTAATGCAACACAAATAATTAAACTGAATACAAATGAATAATCAGTATATAAAATAGGATAATTTCTATACTTTCATTTTAAAATAAATAGCTTTCATTACATCAAAGTGTTATTTATACGTTACTGCCTACTCAACATACTTCTTTAATAAACCGTAATTGGAAGTTTTTCTCATTGATAAAAGAAGAAAAGTGTCAGTCCAACATAGTTTAAAAGGCTGCATGCCATCAGCCAATCGTCCCGAAGGCTTTAGGTCCAGTCTGTCAACTGTAGACGGCCTGAGCTCAGCCTTGGGCGCCTGAACGGTCATTATAGCAGGATGGTTTCAGCTGCACGGCCTGAGAGGCCACGCCAAGAATGCGTGCGTGCAAATACAGTGGCCTATCTAATCTTAGCATCTCTGAGCACCACTCAGTCACAGGACGACAGTTTGAGGGAAAAGGCAAACAAAACCCTCCACAGCGAAGGATGAGTCAGTCGCCGCTCTAGAGGAGCAATTTGTCCGCCTGTTTCCCTACACCGCCTCAGCCTTTGATCAGAGGAAAGCCCTCTTTAAGCTCAGAAGCAACAGTCGTTTTCATCACGGGATGAAAATCCAATGAGAAGCGGAGGGAAAATATCCCAGGAGTTTGTGGGATGAGAGTGTGAAGATGGATGAGGGAAGAGCTGGAACGGGGAGGGTGAACGGAGCACGGTGGGGTCAGGAGGAGCTGGGTGTGGAAAGGGGGGTGATGGATGAAGCAACTTGGCCTTGGAGTTGTATAGTGTTTGCATTGGAGAGGAGAAAGGTAGGAGGTTGTCCTTTTGTCTTGATGGTGCCACCTGAAGGCTGCTGGACTGTTCTGCATTATGCATGGGCAGCATGTGCATCAGGCCAACACACAGGAAGCTGTGTGTATATCACAGAAACAGCATCATCTGCAGGATCACCATCTCTGCCAGTGTTTCTCTCCTGCAGTGAGAGCTGCGTTGCAGCAGTAATTAGCCAGTAGGAGCAGTGCATTTGCTGGTAACAAGCTCCCAACATGCATGTCTGGCTTCGCTTCCTTTTGTTTCTCCCCTCTCTGCCTCCTATTTCTCCTGCTTTTTGGTAGCAGGTACCAAAAGCACCTCCCTAAACTCAGAGATCTTAATGTCAATTAAGCAGGGATGAGCGCACATGCACAAACACAAAGCATGCACACACACATACACACCCAGACAGACACACACACACCAACACACACAAGACATAAGCATTAGCAAAGACTCTCCAGTGAATTTCAAGAGTGGCTGAATGCATGATGGGATGTGTGAGGGGAGGGGCCGGCTGCTGCAGTGGAAGGCAAGTGGACGCTGAATGTTGGCAGAGTTAAAGCCCCCCCCCCGACCAACACTAGCGTCAAAGGGTCTTTGTACCGACAGTCTTTACTGTAGTGTGTGGGGATCACTGAGGCATTGAGAGAGACACTCGGTGACTATTCTGGAGAGCTCGGCTATTCTGATCCGTAACAATGATGGGAAAACTGTACAGCAGCAGCAGCAGCATTATGACTCGGATCTCCAGACCTTTCTGTCAGCACAATTAAACTCAATTTATAACTATATCAGCTGTACAGCTGTTTCTTACTTGGTCTGGATGAAATCTAACCTCTAAAAAATAGCTTGAATTGCAGGACGCCTCTGGTTATGTCTGGTTGGGACCTAAACAGTTTTTCTAGGGGTGGTCAGATGAGAACAATAGTTTGGGTTCCATCTACCGTGTATCAATGGAGTAATATGCAAACACAAGATCTGTATTTTGTAAATAAATCACTGAACTAGAGTTTTTAAGCATTGGCACATTCTTTTTTCCAGCGTTTTATTGTTATTCCACTGTCACAAGTACAGTGCAACGAAATTAACTCTGCATTTAACCCATCCCTTGGGAGGAGCAGTGTGGGGTAATAAAGCAGGCATTAGCATGAAGGGTCTTGCTTAAGGACCCACACTGGCAGCTCATTCCCCCCAGCTGGGATACAAACCCAGGCTTCCTGTTTGCAGGATGGGTGACTTATCACTTGAGCTAGCTATATATTAGCTATATGCACTATATGCATCCTATATGTACACTCATGCTGTCTAGATTAAAGGTAGGGGGCAATCATGTGTGGCTTTAAGTTCTGGGGAGATCATTTTATCTAATTGTTGTCCAACAGGCCAGTCTTTGTAACCTGCTCACTACATAGCAATACCCACCTTTAGAGATTGCATATCTAATTAAGCCATTCATTGCAGGTCCACTGCTCTCAATTTAAATCAAAAATACTTTATTAATCCCAAAGGGAAATAAAATATTTCAGAAAATCACAGGATATTTTTTTTATCCAGGTGTTGATGCAGTAGGCAGGAAGGATCTTCTGTAGAGGTCTGTCTTGATCATATTGGGAGAAGCCTCTGACTCAAGACACTCTAGGTTTTTTTCACAATCATCTGAAGAGGATGCTTACTGTTGTACACAAGGTTTCGTTGTTTCTTATGAGTTTATGACAAGAAGAGAAAGGCCTTAGAAGAAAGAAACCTGACCAGAGTGTATTTAGGAGATTCTTTTATATAATGGTAATAAAGCAGGTAGGATGGTGTTAACTATGCTTGGTTGATCACAAAGTAATTTGCTAATTTCTTACCTACCTTCTCGGAAAAAAAAAATGTCCACTATACACTTAAGCAGTTGTGGTTCTGTATAATATTAATATATAGATACATTAATTACAGAGAAACTTTGTTTCCCTCATTAAACACAAAAACTAGTCTGGAAAATTCTGCGTTTGCCATCATAAATGTCAAAATATTGATGTGAAATATTAATGACTGTATTCTCTGTTAGTTTCTGGTTAATATAGAATAAATAGCCATTCAAATTAGTTAAGATGAGAGCATCTCTGCTGCTACCCTCTGGTTTGGAGGGGAACTGCTTTTTCATAGGTGGCAGCCGTGGGAACAACAACGGTGGCCAATGATTGGCTAATGGTGGCCAATCATTGGCCACCATTAGCCGTTGCCTACATTTAAAATGTAGGCAACGGCATGAAAAAAGTGGTTTCTACTTTTACTTTTATACTTTAAGTAAATTTACAAGCCTGTACTTCGTTACTTTTACTTGAGTAAAGAAGTTTAATCAGTACTTCCACTTTTACCAG